GTATCAAGATCAAGCTATTCCTCCCTGCTTCAGTATCGAGATCAGTTTGAGGAAATTAAGTTTTGATTTTTGTATTATATCCAAACTTCGTTAATCTGACACGCCAAATACGACACGTGATTTTAGGAATCAGGTGATACTCGATTTTGCTAATTTTAAAGGCACGTTAGATATTCAAAGATTTTCTCGGCGAATATCAAGAACCTCCGAAATTTGATTATAGTCATCTACGAAGCCGGAAGAGTATATTAAGGAAAATCGAAGTAGTAAAAGCACCTCCAACATACCTTATTTTTGTTTTTCCTCGTTCGATTAATTGAAGTATATTTATTGATTAGTGATTTCGTTGATTTTTTGTTTACTTGTGCAAAGTGAATAAAAGGGATTACTTACCACGATTTGCACCCGTACAAGAATCGAATTTGGTCATGTAAGGTGGTCCTGCGTAATTTTTTCGAATTATGGACCCTGTAAAGAAAAGACTAGAAAAACATCATTAATACGTATTTGCAAAAACGTTATACAATAAAGATCAATGGATCCCTTATACTTATCTTTGATTACCCTCTGTAAAGATTAGTAATGAAATCAAAATATCTAACAGCCCTAATATTTCGGCTGAAGGCAGATCTGATTAGCACGACTTCACAAATCCAAAAAATATTGTTAAGTAGAGGACTTAGTGAAAACAATGGGTATAACTTTATTATTTTTTTGTTACCATTTTGGCTAAAAGACCATTACAAGAATACAATGTAAATTTGCGTGACAAAAACGCTTAATACCATCTGTTACTATTTAAAAATATTTGCGTTATGCGAACATCATCGATGCTGGGTTTTCATAATTATCACTAAACTGGTTAATAAGTTGCTCCACTTGTGGCTGTTCATCCAGTCTACAAAAATCTCTTACCAACATTAATCTTTTACGAACTGTCATGTTAAATAATTCCTGCTCCGACATGTCGCCAACCATATCTGCCATCCTGTCCTCATTATCTGCTTCAAATATACGTTCAAGAAACTTCGCTTTCTTTTTAAGAGGTTCAGGCAATTTTACTTCATAAGTGACGTCTTTTCCTATCAATTCGTTAAGAAACATCCCTTCTTCAAGTACAAACTCTTTAATTATCGCCAAGGCAACACCACGATCACCAATATTGCATGTTACTATGCATTGTTTTTCATCTTTCGTCGTCAGGAAGAAGTAAATGTTCCAATGGTTATTGCAATCCGTCAAGACAGTCATTGCTCTTGTAGGATGGAGTTTATCTATTAAGAATAACTCTCCTATGGCCTGACCCTCGCTAAAATCCTCCGCTTTTTTCTTAGTTTCGATCCAGACACATGCTGTCCCACTTGGCCCAATAGAAATATCTCCACCACCCGTTAAAGTGACGTTGGCTCCTCGCAAATGTCGTTGATAGTTCTTTTGCGTATGGATATCCGCTATATGGAAACCCCTTGGTAATTTTAGCGCATTTTTAAACCATTTTTCAACATCATCCATCTGTTGATCTTCCGCCCTATCCACATCCCACCTGAACGGATTACATGATACGGTTTCAATTGGTTGGAAATCTTCATCTACGAACTAGATAATGGATAAGTGATAAGCGATAAGAAACACTCTAAATAATATCAGAAATAGGGTACTTACTACTATAATCTTTAATCCAACATCATCAATAATTTTTCTCATCCCTAATTGGGAAAGGCTTGATACTGATATTTTATTAGGTATTTGCTGAGAAAATTCTTTACGCACCGATTTTTCTACAGCTCTTTCTACAATCTCGGTTAAGACTTCTGGTGATTCCTCATATTTACGCTTTAGTGTTACTTATAAAATG